ATAGTTTTTTTTTTTTTTTTTGGGGGGGGGGGGGTCTATTCGCCACTGGGTGACACTACAGCGGTCTGTTCGCAATTTACCCTTTATTATATTATGAATGTTGTGATAAACCTTAATGCCTCACTCTATTATGATGTCACTCATAGCTCATATTGTCCAGATGTTTTTGATGCTTGACTTGGGTTCGATTCGGTTTAGCAAAAGTTTTAACGTCTTTCTTGCCATTGTAATTTGGTTTCAACCTAATCTCAGATGTATTTGAGTTAGATGAATTAATTTTGCAAGGAGTGATATTTTCTCTTTATTGTTTCCTTTTTTAAACATTTTTATGTCCCTCTGCTTTTGGTGCAGAGGTTGTCAATCCTTGCCTGACCTTCCAGAGTTCCAGCTCTCATTAAAACCCGATGATTACAATGTACCAGATATTGATGCATCATGGGATAATGAGAAATTTGAGCCTCAGATTCAATCTCTCAAGGAGCATCTCAAAGATGAAGATGAAATTGTAGAAACTTGATGAGAAGGAATAAAAGTCTATCCTTTTTCAGGATTTCGGAAAATCCTACTTTTGCCTGTTATTGCTTTGTTTAACGACGAAAGTTATACTGTGTTGTTGTATGTAAAATTGTTATTAAAGCCTGTGTTATATAGCTATGCAAAACCCGGCTGATTTCCAGCTTGATAGTTAAATATGAAAAATGTTATGAGAAAGCTTGTGTTCGCAACTTTTTTGTTGATGTACTATTTAAAAGTTAGATGAAATTGATGATATGACTGCAATTCTTTGCTTCATTCTTTTATTTTTTATTGTTTCTTCATGATTTACTTAGCCATCGTCTCTATTCTTGTAGCTTAATTTGATGCGGAAGTCTTTGAAGTGCATAACGTCCATTATTTTAAGGGAAAATCATCTTTTAACCCAAAGTTTTACCCCCACTTATTTAAAAACTCATCCACTTTTCTAAACCCTAATAAACCCATTGTACCCATATGACTTAGTTTTAAACCCAATGTCTATTATACCTCTCTATCTTTACACTGTATTTTTTCCAAAATTGAAAAACTCAATATTGCCCTTTCTCTCTTCTTCTGATCATCGCTAACAACAGCAATGGCGACGATGGCCGGAGAAAATGGCGGGCTGCTCTCGCACTTCACCAACCCCTAATTTTGTACTCATCTTCAATTACTCTCTCATTCTCTCTCCTCCATTAATTTCCCCCTTCTTCTTGAGAAATCTCTCTCCTCCATTAATATTCTATTTCCTTATGTGAGTCTTCATTAGATTTGAGCCCAATGTACTCTCCAGCTCAAAACCTCTAGTTCTTTTTAATTTGTATGGAGTTTTTGACGAAGTTGAGAAATTATGAATTCATGAACTATACGTTATTATGTTTGTTTATTGACTTTTGATAGACTTCGTCAAAGTGTGAGAGTAGATTTGTGGTTATCTAATGGTTGAAGACACACTGCAGTGGACAGCTCAAAAAAAGACACTAATCCTACATCAATAGCTTGTTAACATTTTGAAATTTTGGGTTTTCCAATACTGTATGTTAACATTTTGAAATTTTGGTTTTTTTGGCAATAGCTTGTTAAAGATGTATTGTTCTTATAAATTGATGGATTTTTATCAAGCTTATGCTTAAGGAAAGGGTATGTGCATAACAATTTTGCTCATATATATCTATGTTTTGGTGACTAGGTTGATGCATAGAAGGTGTTTAATAGAATGACAAAAGGGATATAGTTATTTGGACCACAACGATTAGCGGTTATGCTATATTGCTGTTGGTTGAGGAGGCAATAGAGGTGTTTGATGAAATATCCAAGAGAAGTTTGGTTTTGTGGACCGCCATGATCTTAGCTCATTGGTATGCCTTCCTACGCCCTCCGGTTGCTCCTCACCATTTTCTATTGTCGCCAATACCTAACGTAATGCACAGCTACCCCTCAGAAACCATTCGTCAATGCACACTAACTTTCCAATCAAATACATGAGAGAATCCCCCACTCTTGGCATTCGATCAGATCTTCGCATTGCTGTCACATTGCAACCCAAACGACAAATCAACTACAATCTGCAATATGATGTACCAAGTAGTATCCAATGTATCATGTTGTATGAAATTTTCTATATTATGTATATATAGATGATTTGTGTGTATATTGTATCAAATACACTATCTAATGTATCATGTTGTATCAAATTTATCAGTGGATCTAGTAGAAATGTATCTAGTAGAAATGTATACAACGTTTCGATAGTGGTGATTTTGGATTATTTCCATTCAATCTTCATGGATTATTTTCATTCAATGTTATGTGCTTGAGTTTAGTGGTTGATAGATATGAATATCTGTAATGAACTGATGCACTGATTGAACTGAAGAAGTTTTGATGGTAGGTTGTGGTAACTACAGCCTATTGGGTCATATTATGTTTCGTGTGTCCAATTATCCACCTCGACGAGGGGTCCTCGCTCAATTTTCCAGCTTTTGATAAAGTATAGTACTTTATGGGAAAGTATATCAGCTTATTGATGAAGTAGAGAACCTTATGGCAAAGTATAGCATCTTATGACAATAGTATAGTACCTTATCGATAAAGTATAACACCTTATGGTCGTTGGAAATCCAGCAACTTATTGCGTTGCGATAAACCAAATGAGTTTTGTTAGGGCCATGCAAACACTCGATGACCTATGTTATGTGTCGTGTGACCAATCATCCATCGCGACGAGGGGTCCTCGCGTAATTTTGAAGCTTTTGACAAATTATAGCACTTTATGGGAAAGTATAGCACCTTATGACCAAAGTATAGCACTATATGGCAAAGTATAGTACTTTATTAGCAAAGTATAGCACCTTATTAGCAAAGTATAGCACCTTATGCTCTCTGAAAATTCTGCACCTTAAGTTGTCTAAAACCAAGTATAGCACCTTATGCTCTCTGAAAATTCTGCACCTTAAGTTGTCTAAAACCAAATCAGTTTTTTCACCGTAACGCAAACACTCGATGACCTATGTTACGTATTTATTGACCAATCATCCACCGCGATGGGGGGTCCTCGCGCAATTTTGAAGTTTTTGGCAAAGTATAACACTTTATGGGAAAGTATAGCACCTTATGGCCAAAGTATAGCACTATATAGAAAAGTATAACACTTTATTGGCAAAGTATAGCACCTTATTGGTAAAGTATAGCACCTTATGCTCACTGAAAATTCTGCACCTTAAGTTGTCTAAAACCAAATTAGTTTTTTTCACCGCAACGCAAACACTCGATACCTTAAGTTGTCTAAAACCAAATTAGTTTTTTTCACCGCAACGCAAACACTCGATGACCTACGTTACGTGTTTATTGACCAATCATCCGTTTTTTTCACCGCAACGCAAACACTCGATGACCTACGTTACGTGTTTATTGACCAATCATCCACCGCGAGGGGGGGTCCTCGCGTAATTTTAAAGTCTTTGGCCAAGTATAGCACTTTATGGAAAAATATAGCACCTTATGGTCAAAGTATAGCAGTATATGGAAAAGTATAGCACTTTATTGGCAAAGTATAGCACTTTATTGGCAAAGTATAGTACCTTATGCTCTCTGAAAATCCAGCACCTTAAGTTGTCTAAAACCAAATCAGTTTTTTTCATCGCAACGCAAACACTCAATGACCTACATTACGTGTTTATTGACCAATCATCCACCGCGACGGGGGTTCTCACGCAATTTTAAAGCTTTTGGCAAAGTATAGCACTTTATAAGAAAGTATAGCACCTTATGGCCAAAGTATAACACTATACGGTAAAGTGTAGCACTTTATTGGTAAAATATAGCACCTTATTGGCAAAGTATAGCACTTTATGCTCTCTGAAAATTTTGCGCCTTAAGTTGTCTAAAACCAAATTAGTTTTTTCACCGCAATGCAAACACTCGATGACCTACGTTATGTGTTTATTGACCAATCATTGTTTGGGTCAAAAGTTGATATTTTCATTAGTGACGAACTCATTATAATTTCAGCCATTACAATAAGTTCAAAAAGAAAGAAAGTCGATCTTTTTATAAGATCTCCTTTATACAATGAAAATAAAGATTATAACTCTTATCAAACAGCACAACGGACGTTTATCACCCGCTGCTTGCGTGAGATCTTTGCCTGTGCCGGGGACGTTAATATCCGTGGACCACCACGGATCAGATCCGGTTAGCAAAAGTTGAATGATCAATGCTCTCACTTCACGAAGGAAGTAATTGCAGTAGCGGTGATTTTGACTAAGCAAAACCACGATGCTCTCACTTCACGAAGGAAGTAATTGCAGTAGCGGTGATTTTGACTAAGCAAAACCACGGCTCTTCTTGGGATTTAAGACCAAGCTTAAATCCGGAGGAATAGGGGACGTGTCTCAAATCTCTCGAACTCCACTCTTTATGCACAGGAGATCACCGAGATCTGATAACTCTTGCTGAAATTCATGGCTCCACTCTCCAATTCGGCAGCGCTTCGCCCTCCTGATGTCCTCTCAAAAAATGAACACCCGAGCCCCTATTTATAGGTTTGGTTGGTGGTTTTCTTGGATCAAAACGAGGGATTCCCTCTATCTTCAGTTGGCAACTGTCTAACAACAATATCAGAGCAGTTGGAACCCCAAATCCTAAAAGAATCCATAACGAACCAAAAAAAAAACTAATTCTGGCCGATCTGTCACCTGGTGGCTCGGCCTGGCCGGGCCACCAAATGGTGGCTCAACCGCCGAGTCACCTTCTGGTGATCTGGCTTTGGGCCGAACCACTGGTTCGGCCGAGTCGTTTTGATGTGACTCGGCCGCCAGCGGCTTTTATTGGTTTTTTGGGTTTTGACTTGTTCCGTCGTTACGCGTATTTCGTCGTTTCATTGATCTGTACGCTGTTTTGGTGGCTGGTGAGTATACGGGCCACTTGGAGGTGGCCGGTGAGTGCATAGGCTATTCGGTTCGCCATTTCGCTTCATGTGTTTACCGGCATCGGATAATCACCTTCTCTCTGTCTTGAGATGTGTGTAGATACCTATAGGTATTTTTAGACGCCTACATATACCCCCTCTAAAGTATTTCAGTAGCGTTTCTTTTATAGAAGAGCCTGGAATACTTTGGATGTGATTGGTCCAACCTTCAGTCGGCGTGAAGGACCTATAGTTAGCTTCGATTCTTCACTCCTTCGATTTTCAGTCTATTCAATGTTTTGACAAATAGCTGAAGTTCTTCCGGCGCTACGTTTATCGTCTAGCTATCGTCGAAGTCTTGAATCTAAAACATTGACTTTTATTGTAACATGTTGATTTACGTTGACTAGCATTGACCTAGGGTCATGCGTTGACCGGTGTTGACCTAGGGTTTTGGATCGCTCGGCGTTGACTTTTGATCGCAACGTGTTGACCGGTGTTGACCTAGGGTTACGCGTTGATCGACATTAACACAGTTTATACTCGTATGTTTACTGGAGTCTACATAGTTTAAGCTCTTAAGGCGTTGGAGCA